AATATGTGTAAGTTCTTGACTATATACATCTCTTAGTTGCTAGCGTCACTTCTTATATGATTTTCCTAGTGTTATTAAGCCATGTTCTCGCAAACTGTTCTTGATTCATGTAGATTGTTGCAAAACAATGCCATTTCTGGTCATATTCCTGATGTGATTGGGAAGTTACAAAAGCTTCAGACACTTGATCTTTCCAACAATAAATTTGAAGGCGAAATACCCACTTCCTTCGAAGACCTGAAGAATTTGAATTATTTGTGAGTTCATAAATTTACACTTATTATTATTCATTTTCAAGAGACCTCTTATAACAGATTAAAACTGACTGCAACCATATATTTCACTCTCTCAAAGATTGTATACATCATGTATTGACTTAGCTGATCATTGCTTGCAGGGATGTCTCTTATAATAATCTAAGTGGTACCCTTCCTAAACTATCAGCACGAGCTTTCAAGTGAGTTGGTTTTTCCTATTGCCATAATACTCAGTTATTTCACTTTCAAGTAGTTATTATTAATATTATTGAAGTTAAACTATTGATGTACCTGTAGATCTCGATACATAGTTGACAAAAGTCCATTAGTTAAAATACAATGACAAATGTTTCTGGGTGAACTGCTACTTGAAAAGTATTTCATTAGTATTCCACGCTATAGTGACATTGACTTCTTCTTCATGGCTTTCAGAGTGCTGGGGAATCCTTTAATTTGTGGTCAAGGTTCTGAGAATAACTGTTCAGCAATCTATCCAGAGCCACTGTCCTTCCCACCTGATAGTCTGGCAGGTACATATAAGATTTTCGTGATCAAGTCCCTTCCCTTTGCAGCTGAAAATGGAAAACTGTTATAACATATTATACATACTGAGGAAGTTATGCTATTTGTGTTGTTGAAAATGTGTTGCATCTCTTATTTTTGATATCACAGATCAATCTGGTGCTGCACGCAAGAGCCGTCGCGTGGTTGTTGCGTTTGTTGCAAGTTTTGGTGCTGCTTTCTTGGTCATAATAGCCCTGGCTTTGCTTCTTTGGTGGCGCTACAGACATAATCAACAGATCTTCTTTGATGTCAATGGTAAGTTGATTTACTTCTCCCCCCTCTTCTATATGATAATTTGAGCTTTTATTAGTTCTGCATGTCTAATTCTTTTCCTGCCACAGATATATAAGTTGAGCCAAGTGAGCTTTTCATTATTGTCTGAGTGATTGGTGTTAGGTCTCATGTGAATATTTTTTAAGCTAGGATGTAATAGAGTCACCTGCTTGTGGTTTGAATCTTTATTTTAATCTCTATAAAGATTTTTGTCATTGTTGATTTTAAATTCATTTTTAGTTTTAGAGAGGACATGAGTGATCAAGTAATAGGTATTGGGGATAAATTCTGTGTTTACCATATTCAATAAACCTGTTGAATATGAAGAACTTTTGAGCCGCGTCAGTTAGAAAATTATGCCCTTTTGCATACTCAGTAGTTCTGGTCAATTTTCCTAGTAAGGACTCATAAAAGTTGTTTGAATTTTGTTGTTATCGGGGCAAGTCCTGATCCAGTACAGGCTAACTTAAACTTTTAGTTCCAAACATTAACAGAATAATTTGTTAATCACATATCTGAATGGTCACACTTGCATTTTCTTGTGAAAGTTGAAGTAAATATTTCTGTAAAAGGAAGATGGCGTTGTGTTCACTCTCTCCGGCCACCATGCCTGATGAATTGCCTTGCCACATTTATTGCGTTGAAAGTTACTCTTGATAATCTTTTACTTTGTTTGTCTGATTCATATATGTGGATCAGTTTTGGGACCTTTTTGCCTTTACTCTTTCTAATCATTTGCCATCACTTGTTACTACAAAAACCACTACTATTATTTTCTCCCTGTCTCACTTTTTCAAAAGATATTCTTCATCTGTCTCTAGCTATTCCTCAAAGCTGTATCTGAGTAGCGACTTCTCAAATGCAGATCATTGTTATCCAGAGGTATGCTTGGGTCACCTGAAAAGGTACACCCTTAAGGAACTACGGACTGCCACTGACCATTTCAGCTCAAAACGTATTTTGGGAAAGGGAGGATTTGGGGTTGTGTATAAGGCCAGCTTAAACAATGGTACTGTTGTGGCCGTCAAAAGATTGAATGACTATAATGCTGTTGGTGGTGAAAATCAATTTCAGACGGAAGTAGAGTTGATTAGTTTGGCTGTCCATCGAAATCTTCTCCATCTGCTGGGGTTTTGTTCAGCTGAAAGTGAACGGCTTCTTGTTTACCCCTATATGCCAAATGGAAGTGTAGCATCACGATTAAAAGGTTACTTCTTGCCTCCATGTGTTAATACATAATAATCACTATTGATTTCAGATAATGAGTCCAACATTTCCATTTATAAAAGTTAAATATCCTCACATGGTGTTTGTTTGTTACTACTCCATTCATTCATTTTGTTTGACAGATAATTGATAGGATACAGAGTTTAAAATTTTAATTTCACTCATTTATTACATTGGAGTAGGAGAATTTTTTTAAATAGTGGTTATTATACTTGTTGAAGAAAGCATCATATAAATTTTAGAGTGAGGATAGTTAAATGAATTTGAGTTCTTAAAGTTGTAAAAGGTGTACAGACCAATATAATTCTAGAATGGTGCCAAATTTTGAAGCATGTCTAATTTAAAAGTAGTCATTTAGTGAATAGTTCCTACTTCCCAATTTATTGCCATTAAACATGATAGCGAGTGTTCTGAAGACCAGCAACCGCTGTCATAGATGAATTGAGGCCATAAGATTCTGGTTAAGTACTAGCTTAGATGTTACGACCCACCCTTACCTCAGTTCCATCCTTGAGCCCGCGGTGGTATGCTCACCTTCACATACTCTGTACTTCTGTAGTTATCTGATAGGACATTATCAGTTTGCTGCTGGCTGAAACCATTGTGGTATGTTTCTGCATGTTCGTAAGCCAAGCAAACTCCTTTTGCTTTTCTGGAACTTCATCAGCTACTTTTTAATAGTTTCCAACTCACTGAATTTTATATTGGCTTGATTGAAAATGCATTGTGGTTTCTAAATTTGCAGATAGCATAAATGGTAAACCAGTTTTAGACTGGTCAAGGCGGAAGAAGATAGCACAAGGTACAGCGAGAGGGCTAGTTTACTTGCATGAGCAGTGTGATCCGAAAATTATCCATCGTGATGTCAAAGCAGCAAACATTCTGTTGGATGAAGAATTTGAGGCAGTAGTTGGTGATTTTGGATTGGCAAAGCTCTTGGATCACTGCGATTCTCATGTGACAACTGCTGTTAGGGGCACCATTGGCCACATTGCTCCAGAATATTTGTCTACTGGCCAATCGTCTGAAAAAACTGACGTTTTTGGGTTTGGAATCTTGCTACTTGAGCTGATTACAGGTCAGAAAGCTATGGACTTTGGTCGAGGGGCCAACCAGAAAGGTGTTGTTATGCTTGATTGGGTGCGTCTCTTTCTCTTTCTGTGGATGTTGTAGTGAGTACTTTTTGAAATATGTAGAGTTGTGCATCTCTCTCTTTCTCATAGCTGTTTCCTTTTCAGTTATAAGGAGTTGTTGGTTGAAATAGCTAGTGCCTAGTGGTGTGTACATGTAGTTTACAAGGCTCGTTTTACTGATATGCAGGTGAGAAAGCTGCATCAAGAGGATAAATTGAACCTTATGGTAGATAGCAATTTGAGAAATAGTTTTGAGCGTATTGAGCTAGAAGAGATGGTTAAAGTTGCCCTTTTATGTACCCATTTCAACCCTTGTCATCGCCCAAAAATGTCTGAAGCACTAAGGATGTTAGAAGGCGATGGATTGGCTGAACAATGGGCGGCATCACAAAATCTGGAGACTCGTAGAAAGCGAGCTTTTGAACCTACTCCACAAACGTATTCCGACTACGTCCAAGACTCTTCACTAGTTGAACCAATGGAACTTTCTGGACCTAGATGACATCCACTTTGAAGTGAAAAGTATTTCATTGCTGTTCAATGTGTAGTATGTATTCTTTTTCTTATTCTCTAAAAGAAAAGGGAATAAGTCATGCATGTGTAAGCTGACTTCATATATGATATTATATATCCCTTCTTCTTTCAATTTTTAAAATGATAGGGCATGTAATTATGATTTCAGTACTCCTTTTTATATGAAAGATTTGAGATTAGTGGAGATATTTTATTGGTTAATTAATGTAACCTTTATATAACCTATAGTAAATAGCTGTAGTTTTTATGCAGTTGTAAGGCATTTGATATTATAGCAATACACTTATTATCAAAGCTCCAACACTTAATACTACTTTCTGTACTCATTTTATTACCTATATTTCCAAACACATTGGACTGTTAATAAACCAAATCCAACAAGTTAAATTAAATTAAATATACATATCTTTGACCTCAAACAAATTCAACCATACCGTCCTATACTTGCTGAGTTTAAATTTTTTGCAATGACATCAGACGAAAGGGACATAATTATTTAATTAACTAGTTCTCGAACACGTGCACCGCACGCATATTTTATACCATTTTAAATTACACGAGTACACAATCAACTATGAACCAAAGTGCTCCAAGCATAGTCCATGTCCACATTTCTAAGTTCAAATCTGCAAAGACATTCACAGATCAACTTGTATCTGAATTTGAATTTTATTGCTAACAGAAGCTTTTCATAAATAGATATTATACTAAAAGAAATGAATATGCTGCTAGCTTAGCAATAATACAAAAAGTGTTGGTCAGTATTTATAGCTAAATCAATTATATTGGAATAGATTTATCTGAAGTAAGACTTTTTGGAGGAGAAATCTAATCAAAATAGGCAAATGAAATAATTGGACAAACCCACCTTATAATACACTTTATAGAGTATTTAACGAATGTTAAAAGATTGATCAGAATAAATATTATTGAGAATATTAAACTATGTACAGTACAACCAATAAAACAAATAAATTTTATATATTAAAATATGAATGAAAATATAAAAAGAAGTTGCAAGAAAAGACAGAGGTAGGATAAATGTGACATTGTTTTCTTCTTCTTTCTACTTGAATTTTCTGCACTAGAGCCTAGGGTCAATCTCTATACCTCTCAGAACTGGATGCTAACCCTATATTTATCTGAGTCTTATGCTAAAAAGATCTAAGCGGCCTGCCTGCTAACCAAAGCGACTCCTTGTTGGTGGTTGATAGGTGTTGGTCCGATTCACCTATGTCAGTTCGAACTTGGTGGGTCGTTCGTTCGTGTCGAGAATCTCTCTCGTTACTCAGAGTTGATCCGATGCGTCATAGATAGAATGGAGTGGGCTATACGCCGACCCACGTTAAAAGCTTTCTTCTCTTATGAGATTTTGGTTCCAGAAGGTATAGCTCTCGCCTCAGCTTTTTCTTTGAAATCGGAGACTGTTCCAATTTCCTTCTGAGATAGGCAAGCGGAGGGAGAACTAGACGTATCTTGCTAGGCAAAGACAGGTTAGAATGGATAGCTCGCGGGTGGGATTGACGGGATAGATCACTATTGCAGAAGGAGGTAGAACCGGGGGAAGAATTATGGCCGTAGGTTTGCATACACTCTACACTCTACGGATTCGATGGCTGTTGTTGTTATTCCTAAAACTCAAAGTATTTATATATTACTCAGGAAATAGAATAAAAATTCTGCCCCCCTATTACGCAAGTGTGCAGAAACTAAGCTACAAATAAAGAACCTGTTTTGTATAAGTATTTAGTTCAAACAGTTATAATTGTGAAGTGCAGAATAGTAATGGACACAAAATTTAATGTGAAAAATCATTTGGCTCAGAAGGTGTAAAATCAGGATGTATCCAGTAAGATTTAACATGAAAAAACACCTATCCACCTGGCTCAAAAGGTGTAAAAATCGTCAAGTACACAGTAGGATTTAACTTGAAAAATCAATCGGCTTTACAAGTGTAAAAACCGCAACCTAAATCAAGGATTCACTGCTTAGCGGGTAATGGAATCAGTAAAATTAATGAATGTATGAAATATGTTGGTGTCAAGCTCTAAGTCAAGTTGATATTGATGATTCCATTTAATGCAGGATTTGTTAACAATTAGAGGGAACTGAAATAAGGAGATGGCCATGGAGTGTGGCAAAGTGATAGGCGCCATGAACTTTGTGAGGGACGTCCAACATTTTGATATGTCGACGTTTCATCAACTGGAGGATGCTAGAAATAATCTAGAACATGCAGCTGGATTTCTGAGAAAACTGGAGAAGAGATCCCCGGAGAATACGATATCAACATATCTTAGGCCCCTATTTCTAGAAGCTCTTGATGGTTTGTCTGCAATATCTTCTCACATGAAGGATCAAGGCCAGAAGAGTGACATCGTTGAAAGGATTTCGAAGGTGCTGAAAATAATCAAATTGAAGAACATTGCTGAGCGAATCAAAGCTTCAAAACCATCAAGATCATCTAGCCAAGTCACTCTGGAGATGGTGGAGTTTGTCAAATCTTTGCTTGTTTCTGTTCATCATGCACTGTTCTTTATTAGTGCAGATGCTCATGTGTCTGTTCTTGTCAAGAAGCTGTGGATATACGAGGCTTCTTCACGTTTATTGCAAAGCAGTGCATTGAGCATGAGAGTATGAAGGATTTCTTCACCCATGCTGAGGATGTAGCTTACACTGCAGCATACCTATGTTTCTTAGGCTTGAACGGCACTATGGATACTGATATCTCTAAATTTCTGAAAAGGATAAGTCCTTTTAGCCCTGATGTGAGGCAGATTTATCTGAGTGTCTTGATGGGGTTAAATTCATTCAGATCAGAGACTACAATGAATGCCAAATATATGTTTGATTTTGTTAGTGCCCTCCGTAATGATCTGGAAGAGCTACTAAGCAATGTTCATCAAAGTCCGTGCATTCGTCTCCAACAAGGACTTTCACACCTTTCTAGATTTCTCTGGGACATAAAATCAGATCCATTTCCACTTGGAGAATTGATTTCTCTTCAATCACAGATGCAAGCTGTGGCCATTGAGGCAGCGATTGCAATCTACACCTCATATGATGAGAAAGTGAAAATGAAGACTACTGAAACAGACCATTTGCCTTTTATTTTGCAACTGAAGTTAAATCATGTCAAGGTAGAAGTCTCCCTGATTAAGCTACTGAAAAGTAAACCCACTGTAATAGCTCCTCTAAAAGATCTGATTGATTGTGTTCGGGAAGAGCTGATATTCATGAATTTTTTTTTCATGGATGCATTTGAGCAGTGCAAAGAGCAAACTAACGTCACTGAATTTTTCAATCTTATTCAATCTGTAACTAGCCAAGCATGGTTGGTCATTTATTCTCTTTATCGTGACATAAAGAAAGAAGGCTTAGCCAGGGAAATTAGTTGGTCACATTTTCAGTTGCTTCTTAAGTTCAGGTTTATTAGGGCAGTGATTGGACAGATATGTCCCAGAATTTCTGTGTCATCAATACTGGACCATCCCACAATAAATCTGTTGAACTTTCTTCCTCTCAACTTTAAGGTCCTTGATTCTTATTTCAGCATGCTAAAATCATCAACGATAGATTCTTCCGATAGCCCGATGATGGATTTGGTTTTGATGGGGTTTCATGAATATATTCTTGACAACCTGCAACTGAAGAATGAAACCAGTTTGACATTTACTAATACAAATGAGGTTAAAAAGTTTTACTATGGATTGTTGCTCCTGGTAACATATCTTTTTGATCCTCTAGTTCAGTGTAGTGGATTTGGAACTATCGAAATTGAGGCTGCTGGTGATAGTAACAGAAATAGAAGGGTCAGTCTTGTTCTTCAGTATTTGACTGTAGCTTTAAAGCTTATTGAGCCTGAGGAAACCTTGATGGATATGCTAACCAAGGCCACATTGAAAGCTCCAATACTGGATATGGTTGAAAGTGCTCATGAAGAGCTTATTTTCCTCAGAGCTTTTCTAATGGATGTTCTCAGGCAACAGATGAAGCTTAACAAATATCATCATCTCTTGAGGAATGTTGAGGAGACTGCCAACAAGTTAGCACAACTCAGTCGTTTTCGTAATGAAAGATTCATGGACGAAAACAGCACCTGGGAAGTGTGTCTTATATTGTCTGATTTCCTATATGATATTAAGTTTATCAAGGTAGAAATTAGAAAGGTATGCATTCAGGTCTTGGATGCATCACTTATGACTTTGCCAGATATCAAAGGCCTTTTAAACTTTTTATCAAACCGCCTGGACACAGTGCTTGACTGTGATGCTGGTTCGATTGCTTTTCTGATGAATCGAAGTAGAGTTCTCAAAGAGAAACTTATGTACTTGGGACACTTTCTTGCAGATGTTGTACAACACTACAATATGCATCAAGGACTCAAAGACCTCATGAAACATGTTCTAGATACCAAGTATGTCTGTTTATTGTCTGTTGGGGATTATAAATCTGCTTGGTATTACATGTTATCTCTCTCCGATATGAAGCAATTGCTTAAGTTTGTTGAGACAGAGGTCAAAACAATTATTCCTAAAGCTCCAGAGTCATCAAGTTATAGCTTCCCCAAGACAAATGGATTAGGATTTCTTCAATTTTTTCTAGGAAACTTGGAGGAGCTGTTATGTTCTAAGCTCGATTCCGTTATTGACTGGAAGGATCAGATTGGATCAGTCAAGGAAGGCATACTGTGTCTAAGAGATCATTTCGCTGAGAACTTTGATGAGCTAGATGAAGTTTATGGTTTTATATTGAAGGTCACTGAAATGGCATATAAAGCAGAGTTTGTCATTGACTCCTGCTTAGTCAGTTCTCATCCACTCTGGTACAAATCTCATCGAATGTCTGAAGTTCTTAAGAATATCAAGCTTTTAAATAAAGCTGTTACTGAGACTTATGAAAGAAAGGAGATAGATGTGATAGTGAACAAAGTTGCAAAGACCTCCATGAATCCTGTGGCATCCTTATTAGCTTATACGCCAAGAGAAAATGAAGAAATGGAGGGCTTTCACGAGGCAATGGATAAAATTAAGAGGCAACTACTTCGAAGATCTTCTCAGCTAGATATTATCTCCATAGTTGGTATGCCTGGAATCGGCAAGACCTTTCTGGCTGAGAAGATTTACAATAATCTCATAGTTACCCCTCACTTTGATGTTCACGCTAAGTGTCGTGTGACTCAACTATATTCATGGAAAGAGTTGTTGCTTACCATCTTGAATGATGTTCTTGATCCCGCTGATCGCACTGGAAAAGAAGATGGTGAATTAGCTACTGAGCTGCGTCAAGTTTTGTTAACCAAGAGATTCTTAATTCTCGTTGATGATGTGTGGGATAAAACAGTCTGGGACCATTTATATATGTGCTTCAGAGATGCTAAGAATGGTAGTAGAATTATTCTAACTACCCGGCTGAGTGACATTGCCAATTATGCTAAATGTAAGAGTGAACCCCATCATCTTCGTTTATTCAGAGATGATGAGAGTTGGACATTATTACAAGAAGAGGTGTTTCAAGGGGAGAGCTGTCCAACTGAACTTGTAGATGTGGGATTTCGAATAGCAAAAAGTTGTGGAGGATTGCCACTTTCCATTGTATTAGTTGGTGGTGTTCTAAAAGAGAAAGAGAAGAAAGAAGATTTGTGGAAAGAAGTAGAAGAAAGTTTAGGTTCCAAAAATATTGGTAGCTTGCAAAAGAGTATGTCTTTAATTGGATTCAGTTATAAGAATTTACCGCATCATCTGAAGCCTTGTTTCCTCTATTTTGGAGGATTTTTTAAGGGGAAGGATATTCATGTCTCAAAATTGACTCGGTTGTGGCAAGCAGAAGGGTTTGTACAAGCAAATAAGGAAAAAAGAACAGATACCGCACACGATTTCTTGGAAGATCTTATTAGTAGAAATCTAGTAATGGTCATGAAGGAGAGACCTAATGATAAGGTGAAAAGTTGTCGCATTCATGATCTCTTGCACAATTTCTGCCTAGAAAAGTCCAAGCAAGAAAACTTCCTTAACCAAATGAACAGGTACTGAGAGAATTATACTGATTTCGTTGTGTTATGCTTCTCATTGTCACTTATTTTTGTTTATGTTCCTTCTTTTTTTCTGATTTAGGGGAGAAGATATGCTTCCTGAAAAACCTCAAGACTACCGATTGTTCATCCATTCTTACCAAGATGAGATTGATTCGTGGCGTCCATGTGGCTCAAATGTCCGTTCTTTACAATTCAAAGTGGCAGACCCGGATAGCTTGTTATGGCCTCGTGATATCTCCTTCATCTTTGACAGCTTCAAACTTGTTAAAGTGTTGGATTTGGAATCGTTCAACATAGGTGGCACTTTTCCTAGTGAAGTAGAGTCATTAATTCATTTGAGGTACTTTGCTGTTCAAACATATGCAAATTCAATTCCTTCGTTTATAGCTAAGCTTCGGAATCTTGAAACTTTTGTGGTAAGAGGATTGGGAGGAGAGGTGATAATACCTTCTTCTATTCTAAAGATGGTCAAATTGAGGCATTTACTTGTAAAAAATCGTGCTTCATTTAGTTTGCAAGGAAACATGGGTGAATCATTTTCTAACTCTCAATTAGATTATTTGGAAACCTTTTCCACTCCACGCCTCTCTTATGGTCAAGATGCAGAGATGATTTTGACAAAGATGCCAAATTTGAGAAAGTTGAATTGTATATTTTTGGAGACATTTAGTTATTTAGAGAAATTGAAGGGAAGGTGTGTTCGTTTTCCCACATTAGAGTTTCTAAGTCACCTTGAATCCCTAAAGTTGGTTTCCAACTGCTATCCATCTAAGCTTCCTCATGTGTTCAATTTCCCCTCAAAACTAAGGGAATTGACTTTGTCTAAGTTTCGCTTACCCTGGTACGAAATTTCTATCGTTGGAGAACTGCCTAACTTGGAGATCCTAAGGTTGCTTTCCAGAGCCTTCGAAGGGAATGAATGGGAAGTGAATGATTCAGAATTTCGTGTACTCAAATACTTAAATTTGGACAACATCAACATTTCACAGTGGTCCCTCTCTAATGATGCTTTTCCTAAGCTTGAACATTTGGTTTTAACCAAGTGTAAGCAGCTTGAGGAAATCCCTTCTCATTTTGGTGATGCCGTAACTCTGAAAAGCATTGAAGTAAACAGGTGTGGCCGGTCTGTTTCCAATTCAGCCTTGGAAATTCAAACTGCGCAACATGAAGACATGGCAAATGATGCTTTCACAGTTACAATACAGCCTCCAGATTGGGCTAGAAAACCATTTGCTTGACTCGTTTCTGGTACACTCTTGCGATATTCACCTAATTACATTTCGATTTCTCTAAATTTTAATATGCGTATTTTCTAATGTTATACTTGTAACTAAAGAGGCTATATGCTATATACTTGAATCTGTGTGCTAAAACTGAACTTTTTTGAAGATGGGTCAGTTCCTTTTTTCTCATAATTGGGAATAGTACTGCTGTCCAGTTTTTGAAGTGTTTGATATACCATTCAATATCTATTTCTTGAAGATATGTGACTGAAGTTTCTATTATTCATCTCTAAATAAAAGCTAGTAGAGGGATGCAAAGAAATCATTTTCTGTTGGGTTTCGTATATTTTGATGATTGACAAAGTAATGGAATAACTTCATGAAATAGGTAGATGATACATGTTTTAGCATACAGAGTCCAACTTGACTTTATCTCTGAATAAAAGGAGTCTTGAGTAGAAAAGATCACGAGTTATAATACTACACACACATGAGCCTAACTGAACCTCAAAAGCTAGCTCATGAGGGGAGGTTTGTCCAAGTCTATCTAAAGAGACCAAATTCCCATCCCTCTACCGATATGAGACTTCTTAACTGTACAACACATATCCAGGACAGGAGTCCAAAGACGTATAGACTTAAGTATCCAAAGCAACAAAAGAGTCAGAGTTCTTAGAAGATGGGAAGCACGGCTAAGAGCTATAAATATATAAGGTTTTCCACAAAGGAGACTCACAATCTGAACAATATTTTTCAAATTGCTATCTACCATAACATTCAATTTCTCCTCTTGATGCAGCTTTCTCACCTGCATATCATTAAACGAGAGAGAGTTGAAGTATGCGAGCCTTGTAAACTACATGTACACACCACTAGCTAGCAATATTCCATATAGTCTAACAATCAAACATTAAAATAAAATATTTTATTTTAATGTTTGATTGTTAGACTGGTCAAGGCGGAAGAAGATAGCACAAGGTACAGCGAGAGGGCTAGTTTACTTGCATGAGCAGTGTGATCCCAAAATTATCCATCGTGATGTCAAAGCAGCATACATTCTGTTGGATGAAGAATTTGAGGCAGTAGTTGGTGATTTTGGATTGGCAAAGCTCTTGGATCACTGCGATTCTCATGTGACAACTGCTGTTAGGGGCACCATTGGCCACATTGCTCCAGAATATTTGTCTACTGGCCAATCGTCTGAAAAAACTGACGTTTTTGGGTTTGGAATCTTGCTACTTGAGCTGATTACAGGTCAGAAAGCTATGGACTTTGGTCGAGGGGCCAACCAGAAAGGTGTTGTTATGCTTGATTGGGTGCGTCTCTTTCTCTTTCTGTGGATGTTGTAGTGAGTACTTTTTGAAATATGTAGAGTTGTGCATCTCTCTCTTTCTCATAGCTGTTTCCTTTTCAGTTATAAGGAGTTGTTGGTTGAAATAGCTAGTGCCTAGTGGTGTGTATATTATGACATTTCAATTGAGTCGTAACTTTATGATATGTATTTACAGAAAAACAATATGTGTTGATGTGAATGCAAGCGAATAATCAAGAAAAAATATGAATCAAGTAAGTACCTACCTACTTTTTTTCCTTTCATATGAAAAGACTTAAATACCAAGAAACTCATTGTTTATTTGAGCTGAGTTTTTTCTTCACAGTGAATTAAAATTATTAATCATTAAGTGATAGTCAATTAGGCTTTAACTAGTTATGTCACATGATGAGTCAAATCTTGAAAATATATTTTTCTAGTTTTTGATCTCAAAATATTCATTTTTTTTTTAACTTAGACTTCATTTTTTTAGAGTACTATCATACTTATTTTACTAATCTCGCAATTTTCGATTGATTATTTGACTAATTACTATAACTATGATATTATAGCAATTTTCGATTGTTATGCGTTGATCGTAATTCGATTTGAGAACTTCTTTTACAAAATTCTTTATCAAGTCATCGCCAACAATCAACTTAAGCTATAGAAAAATAGAATTATACATTTACCGAATTCACTAAAAAAATGAGCATCTACCAATGAAACATCACTAGAGAAAACTCAACAAAAACAATTTTTTTCATTTAAAATGAAAAAGGCGCGAAAAATAATCGTTAGCGCAAAAATCTCAAAAAGAAAAAAAGCATAACAATTAACATTGAGAAAAAATTTGATTGATTCGTAACAAAATCAAGTGGTTAATTGAAGAAGAATAGAAAAAAACTTGCTAAAAATGACGAATATATTAAAAAAGACAAAAGAGAAATGTGTATATATATACATTCTGTTGGTGAAGAATGATTAAAAAAACCCTTTATTACCGACCAAAAAAAGGTGATATATATATATATTATAAGAGTAGTAAATACTATAACTTGCGGCAAGAAGAGAGGTTTCGATAAGGCAAAGAATGAAGCTTTCGATGAAATTTTTGGTCGCCAAAATGATATCTGAAGGTCGTCATCGACGCCCAAAACAGAGGAGGCTGAGAAGGCGTACTGAAATTTCTAGGGAAGATTCCATGGGGTGTTTGCCAGAAGAACTGATCCTAGCTATTCTTGTAAGGGTTCCAGTTAAATACCTCTTACAGTTCAAATGTGTTTCCAAAAATTGGTTTAATTTGATATCTAGCCCTGAATTTGTGAAAACTCATCTTGATTTTTCTGCTAACGATTACACCCGCCATATGTCTCTGTTACAATATAATGCACTATCGACGGAGATTAAATATTGTTATGTTACTTGTTTATTTCATGAACCTGTTATTGAGGCGCTTGATTTGTATTGTCCCATGAAAAATACACCTCAAAGTGTTCAAATTTCGGGTTCTGTTAATGGTTTGGTTTGTCTTTCTGATGGGTTTGGTAGGTTGGTGCTATGGAATCCATCAATTAGAAAGTTCAAGAATGTGTTTGGATTTCTGCCTACAAAGATGGGTTCCGCCTGGTTCAAGAGTGGTTTTGGATATGATGAGGTCCATGATGACTATAAGGTAGTGGGTATTTTTAGTAACATGGTTAAGGCCTATTTTGAGGCTGTCATATATAGTTTAAAAAGGGATTCTTGCACAACACTTGAAGATTTTAAACCTGGGGTGACTTACTGTGGTGATGCTAAATTTGTGCATCGTAAACTTCATTGGATTACTTATCGTAGACGTGGTTGGGGCATCTCGTGTATTGATTTGGTTGAAGAGAAATGGGGAAAGTTGGAGCTGCCTAGCTGCAAAGAAGAACAAGAATTGAAGCTTGGAGTGTTGCAAGGTGATCTTTCGTTCCTCTCTAGTAATGATGAGAGAAATCACTCTGATGTGTGGGTAATGAAGGAATATGGAGTTAAAGCATCTTGGACAAAACTGTATACCATCAGGTATCCCGAGAACTATAAGCTAGTGACGCCCCTTTTCACGTATAGTAAAGGTAAAATTCTACTCGCGTTTAAATCATCTTTGGCGATATATGATCCAAAGAACGACTCTATCACATATCCAACGGTTACTAATGTTGAGCTTACTGACTCTATCACACATGCAACGTATAATATTGACGTTACTAGTTATTACAGCATTGTTGAGGCAGAAATCTGCATTGAAAGCCTAGTTTGTCCGGATTTACCAAACAAATATTGAAAGATGTCAGAGCTCCTGTCGTAATAGTTAACAACTTGTAAGTATTCTTTCGCTGCATTTTTCACGTGTTTTAATATTAAGCTTATTTTTTCGTTTATAGTAGACTAACTTTAGAATGTTGCCCAAGATGTTCAAAATGAATACACCAGATATTCCTACTTAAATTGAGTTATCAATTCTAATCTTGGAATGTCACTCAAATATTCAAAATAAATATTTCCATGTATTCCTACCAACTCCAAAATATATATGACTTCTACCAAGGTGTTAATCACTTCAAGCCTGAAATTAGGAGCTAAGAAGCATTGCAGAAGATGGAGCAATTCTATCCTAGCAGTAAGACTTAAACATAAAACCTGCAACCAGCCTTGCCGCGCATCAATTTAAAATAAATTTACCCGCCCCGCAGTGCACAGCCTTACTTTAAACCTGCCCGCATACATAAGCGGACCCACATGCACCCGACAACTTTTTTTTTTTTAATTATATCATATATATATGTATAGATGGTCTATAAAACGATAGTATATTTGATTGAGCAATCTTATAACCAAAAGTCGTCTGAGTGCACTTGGTCGAAGTTTCCCCTTCGGACTGAAACAACGCGAGTTCAAATCTCGCGAAAGGTTCTATTAATTGCCTTTTTGCCACCTCATCTGACCCACCTCCTTTCTTAATCACCCCTTTTTGCCATCTCATCTGACACCATTCCTTTCTTTATTGAAATTAAAGACAAATAAAAGCCCTAGCACAATTCTAAATAAAACATAAGACTGCTAGAATATCTACGAACTTACAACTTACAAGTATTCTTCAATCTTCATACATAAATGAAGTCCTACTCCTAATATCTTTGCATAAATTGACAAGTTCTTCTTTTTAAGCGTACTTATATTTGTCCTATGAAAGAAGGGGTGTGATTCCCCTATCAGAAATGTGGTGTTTATTTATAAGTTTATATTTTATAGTCTTGTGAAAAGAGGAGTGTGATTCTTCCATTATATATTGTTTTTGTTGTTCTAAAATATTCTTAATAAAAAGTAGATTGTTTTTCTCTATTTTTTTTTTTAACTATAATGTTCAGTATTTGTTAAACTGGAATAAAATATAAAGTCACTATTAAAATTCATTGGGGCCTCAAAATTATGGAGGCCTAAACAGACGCTTTGAGAACCTTACCCTTGAGTCGCTGCTAGCCTTACCCTTGAGCCACTTTTGGTGCCCCCTATCTTCAAATCTCGGGTTTGCCTCTGCCCGCATAGGCTTAAACCTGCCCTGCCCTGTCCGGCCCCACCGCATTGCCATCCCTAGAAGGTAGATGTTATCATCATTTAAAGTTTAACAAAAACTTCCTACTTTCGTAAGAATTACTCATTTTTCAAAAGTTTGAATCATTTTGTGAGCATAGGCACAGTTGGAAGTGTTGATTTGCAGTGTCCAACACACTATAAAACTAACTTATTTCCCCTTTACAAATAGGAAGATCAATTTCTTTTTCTTTTTTCAACCTATATGCAGGTGAATTAATTTTTTCATTTTCTCTGACCTTCGTCGCTTCCATTTATTCAACTGCCTATAAAACATTGCTCACTTTTAGATGTTGGCAGCAACGTTAGCTCTTCCCTCTTAATTTTAAATTCTAAGCTTTTTATTTTAAAAATCTTGTTTCGGGGTCAGGATATCCTATTCTTTGCGTGATCTGTTACTCTCAAACTAAATCTCAATTTGATGTAACCAAAAGCACTCAACATTTACCAACCTTTAGGGGCTTAATATGGTATTTAGCTCTTAAATTTTGCCTCGTCAATAAGGAGAACAACTTATAGCTGCTGTAAGGCCCAAAACCGAATTCATATTCAACACCATCGTAGTACCTTAATTTCCCCTTCAACTACATCTTTTCTGGCAGGCTCAAAGATTTCTTCTTTATCATTTTCATCTGTATTCGGTGTACCTCTCAAATTATCAAAATAGGTTAAGTTGCCTATTTACAACGACGATTGAGGCCAAATAATTTCATCACATCTAAAACATGTTGCTCGGACACTCCAAAAATGATGCCCCACCCGTGTCGGATCCTTCAAAAATACACTATTTTGGGGGGATTGGACACGCACCCGTCGACATGTTTGAAAAGTCCGAGCAACATAGCTTTTTCGTGCAAATGTTGAATCATACAACATTTTGAATTGCTCAGATTTTGCTACTGAAGTTGCATTGAAGCTAGTCGACTTTGCTGTCGTCTGCAATGGTGAATAAGTGTTACGCCTTCTACTCTAGCTCTTGAGTCACGTGTTTCAAGTATGTGTGCGACTCGAGGATAATTGAGTCTGACCCAACTGATTTATTGCTTGAACTTCCTCTACTTTATCCAAATTTAAAACCCTGAAGTTGCTGCAAAACAGAATTTTGATCCTTCCCCTTTTAGCCATCGCCTTTATCTCCCTTAATGTTTCAGCCCATTCAAAAAACACTCTAGATAACTTTAGATCAGACACCTCCTCCTTCCTCTTTCATAGATACCGACACCTTTCCAAAATCTTCATGAAACGGAGTGTATCCGGCTCTTCTTCTTTCACTTTAGCATTGAGTTGAGAAACTGAGTTGAAGGAGAAAACAATTTTAGGAAGCGTGTAGCTGCTATAATCTTCTTCACTGCTATAAAAAAAATATTGAGGCCTCTCTCTTAAATATCGCTTTAAGTCCCCCAATATTGTTGAGTCGGCCCTGATTGATACTTCTGGTGTCATCGTCGACTACTTAAGAACTTTGTCTTCAGAGATCCAGAACTAGTAGAGACACCTTTGTTTGCTCGATTCCTTTTACGAGAACGTCTGGGAGAAGTGACCTCCTCTTCTTCATCTTCATCATCGGTGTTAATTGTTATACCAAATGACCTGATACGTTGAGGAATGTGAACATTGAAGTAATAGTTGACGATGCTTTGCCTATTCTTGGAAGGAAAACATGTTAATGCTGGTTTCATTAAGTGTTTGCCTTTCTACAGACACGTCTTAGCGAGGGACCTGAACTTCTTTTGGTCCTTAGTGTTCCACAACTATGAAACTTCTCCTCCCATTTCATCAAACTTCCAGACATTGAAGGCTGTCTCTAGTTCAGACTTCAACTTCACTTACTGCTGTATTCTATAATCTGAAACTTACATCATTCTTTTTCCCCTTTACAGATAAGAAGATTAGTTTCTATTTCTTTTTCAACCTACTGCTATACTCGCGAGTTAACTTTCTGTCCTGTCGATAAAACATTGCTCACTTCTAGATGTAGGCAGCAACATTATCTCTTCCGTCTCAATTTTAAACTAGAAGCTTTTAGTTTTTGAAAAAGGGGTCAGGATATCCTATTCTTTTTGTGATGTAACCAAAGGCACACAACACAACTCACATATTCTTTTACATGTATATTTCTTTGGTTATCATGTCTCCATAAGGAAACCAACCTGTAGGAGTTTCAACTGATATTTCGCACACTAATAAGAACAACTTATACTCATATATATTGTTGATGATTGCAGGTTGTTGTAGAATCATACATGTGTTCAGGGGAACATATATACTTGCTACTCATGGTTTAGCAACTACATAGGAGAAGCAAATGCAAGCTTTCGACCAAATGGTCTACTTTACCTCAATTCACCATTTTGAACCTTATACAAAAGATTTTTCCGTACTGTGATGTGAAGTAAGATTATATCATTGCAGGTTGTAAAAACTCTATGATGCTACTTAATTTTGTTGAAAGAAGCAAGAAACGCTCGTAAATTGAACTTGTTAGTTGGAACACAATCATACAAGTTTATGCTCTCGTTTTTTGTTTTTGTTCTTAAGTTTCTGCTTGGTGTAACTATACACAATTAGATATTTGATAACTTTGCTCTACAATATCTACCGTTCGTGATGTAGGTCTCGAGTAAATTTGAACATGTATTCACTCATCTACCGACTAATCTAATTTTTGAACTTGAAATTTCAATTAAATTATATTTTAATATTTATTAGGTGTTTAATAGGATGTGCCTTTGGATAAATAAAAAGTTTTGGCAAATATGAGGATTTAGTTTTCCAAATATCTAGAATTACTCCATATGTTCATGTTACTCCTCCGTCATTTTTTACTTGGATTTAGTTTAAAATTATAAACATTTTCTTACAAGAATTCTATGAGAAGTTTTGGCAAACGAGGCGTTGCCATGAAAATCAAATACTCTAATTAGTCTTATTTGATGTGGCAAGTGTCACGAACTTTATTACAAGTTGAAACAATTAATTTTATAATGTTTTTATTTTTAATAAAATAATTTACAATTATCTAAATAAAAGTTTATTTCAGACAATGCTTCTACATTTTTTCAAGTATTGTCCACAGTCAAACAATGTCACATATAACAGAAAGAGAAAAGTATCATTCATTTAATTTTGCTTGAAGGTATTTTTTTTATTAAAAAAAATATGATTTTGATGAACTACTACTCCCTCTATTGTTAACTAAATTTGTAAGATTGCACATATATATTCAACAAATATATTTAAAGACATAATTTTTATTATTATATATTTTTCATGATATTATAAAATAACCTAAAAAATCTAAAACTTCAATAAATAAATAAAAAGTAATTCAATTATTATTTTGAACAATAAAAAAAATCAAATAATATAAAATAAAAGAGTAATAAAATCGTCAAAACTTAACTATAATATAATATACTTTGTCTTTAAAATCTCAAATAAGTACTCTATATATATATAGTAATAGATTAGATCTCAAAAAAATAATGTAATTGAAGTCCCCCACAGTCCACCACGAGTCCTTCCTTAGAAGAGATCTACAAAAAAAAACTTTTTCTTTTTTGCCTCTTCCACATTGTAATTGCCAAAAGAACAAACTTTGTTCATAAAAATTGGTGTATATTACAAAGAAAATCATTGATTTTTTTGTTTTCCATTGATGAGGTTTTGAGATTTAGAATGGACTTGACGAAACTGCCATTTTCTGATTCTTCTCCAAGAAGAAAGGTAGTTGTTTCTGGCTTTGGTTTGGGTGTTGCTGCTTCTTTAACTTTTGTTTGTATTCTATTGTTGAAGTATTCATCAAAATCTCCATTTTTAATCCCTGTTTTTAGTTACAGTGATAATAATAATAATAACAACAGTAATAGTACCCTCATTTCTTGGCCTTTCGCTTTCTCTAATGCTAGTGTTAGTTTGAGTTCCAAAGCTTCACACAGTGGAAACTTTAGTACCAATAAAATTGATGAAAGTGGGATATTTTCCAATTTTGGGGAAATTTTAGGAAATCCCCATGTCTCTGAAAAGGTAAAAAATGAAAGCTTTCTTGTTCAAGAATCAGGGAATGGAACTGTTTTGAGTATCCAAGATTCCACAAACTATAATGTGACCTCAACTTATATTGAGGATGTTGTGGGATTAAGTGGTGGTGATAGAAAAAAAGTTGCAGTGGGTGAGGGTAAAGGGAGTTTGCCTGTGGAGAAGAATGCTGTGTTGTTTAAAAGTGATGGAGAATCATTGATTAGACGCCACAGGGATTTTTATGGGGATTGTGATGTATATGATGGTGAATGGGTTAGAGATGACACGAAGCCGTATTATCCTCCGGGTTCTTGCCCTATGATTGATAGGGATTTTGATTGTCACCTTAATAAGAGGCCAGATGATGAGTATATCAAGTGGAGATGGCAACCATATGCATGTGACATACCGAGGTACGAGTACTAATACTCCTACTCACAATGTTTGAAATTTGACTATGAATTACAATTTAGTCTTTGGTAACACCCTCAATGCATAAAGTGATATTTACTTTTGGATTGAACTTAAGAACAAATGTTCTGGAACTACCTTGTAAGACAGAACATAGAAATCTATATTCCGATGCTGCCCCAAAAAGTACAATGTATTTTCTAATAAGTTAATCCAGTATGTTGCAATTGCTTGTAAATTTCTTAGGGTGTTAGTTTTTGACTATATCTTGTGTGAAAGTTTGAGTGCACACCTATGAACTGCAAGCAGCCAAACTTGACGTCGTTTTAAATGTGTTTCTTTACTGACATTATTCACATCGCCAATGAAATTTATTAGATTTACATAGTCTATGTTGCATATTTAGTTATATTGGTCGATTTAACTGATTTACACCTCACACACTAGCCTCAATGCAACTGATTTTCTGGAGAGATTGAGAGGGCAAAAGCTTGTTTTTGTGGGGGACTCATTGAATAGGAACATGTGGGAGTCCCTTGTTTGCATTCTTCGCCACAGTATCCGAGACAAAAGGCGAGTTTATGAGATATCAGGAAGGCATGAATTCAAAAAGAAGGGCTTCTATGCATTCAGATTTGAGGCAAGCTATTTAACCTCTTTTTTCCGTGACCTGAGAATTGCTAATATCCTTCTCATCTTATCATGCTGTGATTTGGTTGCAGGATTATAACTGTTCTGTGGATTTTGTTAGCTCTCCATTTCTTGTCAGACAATCAACTTTTAAAGGGAAAAATGGTTCTTTCGAGACGCTAAGATTGGATTTGATGGACAAGACGACTTCAATGTATAGTGATGCTGATATTGTAATTTTCAACACTGGTCATTGGTGGACTCATGAGAAAACCTCCAGAGGGTTAGCACTTTACTTCTTTCACTAAAAGCTGGATCTTGCATGTCATTGGTAGTTGAAATTTATGAACTTGTGCTCTTGGTGGATTATAGGGAAGACTACTACCAGGAAGGTAATCATGTGCATGGAAGGCTCAAGGTTTTAGAGGCGTATAAGAGAGCGATTTCCACTTGGGCAAGGTGGGTGGATCAGAACTTTGACGGAAGCAGAAGTCAAGTTATTTTTAGAGGATATTCGGTCACACACTTCAGGTACAATTCTTTGTTACATGTTACTTATGCTACAACTCTGAAGGGGATGTCATGATTAAGGACCTCTGGGAAAGTGAATGTATGTCCTGTTTTCTGTTAGGCTTGTTTTGTGAATGTATAAAGGGATGTGCTGTTTAGTGAGATGGTCAAGTTGGTCGCTCACTGCAAACTTGCACGTAATGAATATACAGAAGAATAAACACTTTAATTTTATCAAATATATGTTGATTCCTTCAGAAAGTAGATAACTATGGGATTCTTTTATTCACATTACATGTACTCAGCAATAGTGATGTTAAAATAATCTCTCACGTTAGTAAGTTTGTGTATTGAAGAAGGGATTATTATTTATTTTTTTTATGCAGGGGAGGTCCATGGAACTCAGGGGGGCAGTGCCATAAAGAAAGGGAACCAATATTCAACAAGTCTTATTTAGCAAAATACCCTTCAAAAATGAAAGTGCTACATCACGTCCTTCATAATATGACTACCCCTGTCATTTATATGAACATTAGTAGGCTTACAGACTATCGTAAAGATGGTCATCCATCGATATACAGAAAGGAGTACAAGAGAGTAGAAGAAGCAATACACTCTCAGGATTGCAGTCATTGGTGCTTACCAGGTGTACCCGACACTTGGAACGAGTTGTTATATGCGTCTCTCCTGAAAACCAGAAAAGGCTCTTGGAACAACTGAACTTTTTCTTTATTGCTCATTCTTGTCAATGCAAAAAAGAAGCTGGGGATGTTCGTGTGTATTAGATAGATCAGTATTGGAGATGAGAATATTGAGCTAATCACACTATTTTTCATTATCTAACAATGTGATATCTTGTATTTAAGTAACAATCAAAGCATAAACACAAAATTTATACTCATGATATTCAAGTTATATATATTCCAACATAGGACTAGAGAAGGAATGTACTACAATCTTACCAAAATCCATTAGAACATACACACTTGCATGTAACCTTACACAAGAGTGGATATCATATAATAATATACTTAAAGGGTACAACATTAAGTTGAAAGCCAAGAAAGACTCCAAAACGGAGTCCACAATTGCCGTTTTGTGACTTGCCGGTTTGCCATCCTTTTGCCATATATCCACACATAATTTGGCTAAGTATGAGCAAACTTGAAATTGTATAGGGAGGAATTATGTTTGCTCGGACTCTCCAGAGATGTTGTTATAATCACGTTGAATTTGGAGAATCCAACATGTATTTGTCGATATTTTTGAACAAATTCGAGCAACATAACTGCCCTGCAGTTTAAAACTCCTCCACTCCAACTTGCCTATCTTTTCTAAGACCCGTGGATTGCTTCATCCCACTGCATTTTTTTTTTCTCTCACTTAATAATGTATAGGTTTCAAGAAGGGAAACTGAATAGTGTTATTTTCTTTAATTGTATCCAATAGGCTCTTGAGACAAAGCTAGTGGTAAGTTAGCCCATAGATTGTGGCCTTAAATAGAAGAACTCAACAAATCATTACATCATAAACCACTACTATATGTATTATGCTTTACCTTTTTCTTTTTCACTATTGCTCCCCACACAAATCTCTTTATATTTCACATCAAGTGTTTGGTGATTCACAAAATCCTTTTTTTAATGAAAATCTGGAAAAAGTATAAATACACAAACTAATTAAAGAGAATGTAACATTTACTATATATAAAAATATTAAATAATATAATTTTTTGTCTAAGCTGGCTAATAGCACTTAAATTCTTTGAGAGCGAAATTAGAAATTCATCCTAAGTTAGGCATGTGCCTATTTTTGTGTGGAAAATGAATAAAACGTAGACAAATATTAAATTCATAATTCATAATTTAAAAAATGCAATATCCTCAGTCTTAGAATCAGTGGTGAAGATCTATCGAGTTCGTTTTAAGTACGCTCAAGATTTAATATATATGGTTATAAAAATAACTTTTTAAACTGTATAAAATATATATACATTTTTAATAAAGGTCATTCAAATATCTATTCTTCAAGCTATTTGAATAGTGAGCAGCCATTAAAGCTTAGTGGAATCAATAAAATAATATGAATGACTAGCTAGCTTGTAAGTTTACTATATTCTTGCCAAATGGTGCATTACTTTAGTCCTTTTTTTTTCTCTTTACTAGTGAATCGACTCACTCATCCACCATCTTCCCCTTTATAACTCCATGTATGTATCAACTCAGTATTTCACTAATTAATCCCATAATACTTGTCGGCCAATTACAAAAAAACAAAAAGAAAAAAAATAGTATTTTTTCTCTTTTCATTCATTAATAATTGGCTGGCTACGTGAACAGAGGCAAATCCACATTTTATTTACACACTTGAACTAAGCCTTGTTATAATTGAACACTCCAATTCTTAATAATTAAATAATTTTGACATATACAAATGTCAAAGAAAAAATTGTGTGTGTTTTCAATTATCTATTACATAGTTTATCAAAAATCATTATAAAATTATTTTTAAAAAAAAGTTTCAAATTTATTATCTCCTCTCTACGCGCTCTGAATATTCCAACGTCCATCTCATTACAACTCCTCCCTATGGGCGAAATCTAACTTTCAGATTTATTATCCTCTCTCACTCTTTTTTCATTTTTAATGAGCAATGGGCTTTATCTTGTTTCATTCCCTTTTTAATGAGCTATTGGGCTGTTGGGACTTGGGCATGCAATTGACACAAATTTTAGGTTTAACAAATATTAAAAAAAAATTATATTATATGATATAGTTATGATTTTTATAATTACGTTTTATATCAAATTTTATATTTGCTTATGAAGTTATTAATTTGTATATGCAAGTATCCTTTCTAATTATATAAGTATATATTTGAAATATGTTTACAAAAAGAAATTGATTTAGCAGTAAGTTGTATAAGTATATGTTATTTTGTTGTGATCTTTAATCGTATATGTATGTGTGTATTACATGTATTTAGAAAGTGAAAAGCTAACTTCCTAGAATGAGAAAAAGGAGATAAAAAGAGAAAGAACTCTATTTTAAAATCGTTTGACAAATAATAAGAGAAATAAAATAGTAATAATAAAATAATAATTTTTTTCTTTAAAAAAACAAAGGATCAATCATATGTGTTTAAAGAAAAATAAGGGAATAAAAATATATTTTTAAATTTTAAATATAACACATCAGTTGAAACAACAACAATACTTAATAGTTAGATTTTTTTTCTAAAAAAAAATTGCTCTAATATAAATATTAGTCTAGAATATTATGTAAACATTTTTCTATTTGTTGGAATGAAAATATTCTAATTCTCTCTCATTTGATGCAGTCAATACTAGTTTAAAGTCCTAATTTAATTCCATATTTATTTTTTTTATTGATTTTCAATATTAATACACTCTTCAGGTAAAAAAAATTTAAAAAGAAAATCATAATATGTGCACGAAAACATTGCAACATTAGCAAAATACAAGAAAGAGCAATACTCTAAAGAGTCTTTTCTAATTTTCTCTTATAAGCACAACAAATGGAGGAATAATTTGAAGATAAGATAATTAAATAGGCAATAATTAGTATGCAATAACTATGAAAGTAAGTTTGACTATTCCAGATGTTTCTTGACCAAATTATAGTGTGCTTAAGCAACCAATGAACCATAACTATAGTCACCAAAAGGCAAAACCAATCCTCAAAAAGAAGATTAGCATTTTCAAAATGTTATGCTTTCTTTAGACAAATTATTGTAGAAGTTAAAATTAAATAAAAAGGGGTAACATTTATTCCTCTTATCATTAGAAGTCATCATAGCATCTTATATTAATAAAAGTTACATAATTAGCTAATAGCAAAATTAGTTTGTGGCAATACACCAACTATTTTTCTCCACAAAAGAAGTTGAAATACGAGGGATTTGATAGCGGGTTAGACTAATGTATATATTAGTAATATATATTGGTTATAAGGAAATGTCACTTATTTTATCGTAATTCTAAAATAATAATACATATATTATCTCATAACTTATACATGCGGAATTCTAAATTGCAAATTGAATACCATAACAATTTTATACATGAGTACCTAATCATCTTCTAACAAGCTATCAAACGTGATATTACTTATAAATAATTTATAAAACATGCATAACTCATTTTCAAACGAACTTGCCAGCAAAAAATATTTTATATAATTACTTTTTATTTGTTGGGATACTTTCAATCTTGATAAAAAGGTTCTTCCCATAAGAGCCCAATAAAAGAAGTCAAAACGCAACTTTTTAATGTCACAGAATGTGGAACGTGGCTTAATGATATTCGTATTTTGTGCATTTTAAATTAGTGAAATAATTAGTAAATAAACTTACCCTAATAAAGAGAAAAGAAAAAAAAAGGTTTCATTGTTTGAAGGCATCCGTTGATGATGACTTTTACTTAATTTGAAGAGAGCCACGAAGGTTTTGACTTAATATTTCAACTTTAAAGGATGACAATAAATCAATAATTAATCACTTACTTTTCCCTTAATGCTCATTCCATTGATATGGGGATTTGCTTGGTTGACTAATTAATCAGAATTTAATTTGTATTAGTGCTTCACTTTAGACTAATCATTTTTAATAACATTGTTACTCAATGGACCATTCGATCGGTTTTTGATCGATTAATGCTAAGCCATTTTTGAGCTGAGGCAAATCTAGAAGAGAACCTATAGATTCATAAAAATTCACTAGTTTTATCTCATAATTATTAATTATTGAGAAATATTTTATTGTAAAATTTAATTATTAATATATGTTAACTGAGAGGAATCAATCAAAGACGACTTTTCTCACGAGATATGATATGAAGGATTTGACTTTTTTGTCATGCCCCAAAGTTAATACACGAATCATTAACTTTTAGTTTTGAATCTGTCTATTTAAAATTAACATGTTTTCTATCAAAGACTACTCAATTTTTAAATTTCGACCTCACTTAATAAGTCTTATTTTAACTATTCAACACAAAGTTAAGTAAACACAAAACTAGTAATTATTTACATGGTATCTCACGTGTAGATATATTCTGATATCATATGTTTTAAAATTAATTAGTATTTCAATGGTCCAAATCAAATTAAATAGGTGTAGTTTAAAAGTCCCACTTAGGAAAAATATTCTATAAATAACCAAGCTAAAAACACATAAGCAAAAATCAAATTTGATCAGTTTTTAGTACCTAATTCTTTCATTATAATTTCCCTATTAAAACTCTAGGGGATTAGAGACATTTTCTTTTATAAATACATATCTCAAAGGTCAGTTTTGTTCCTTGCCTTTTTTAATTATGCAATAGCTGTATGATTTTTAACAATATTTCTTCTTCCTTTTTTAATTCTCTTTTTTGTTTAGTTGCAGCATGTTAACTTATAACTTCAAGGTGGTGTGATATCTGCTTTTATGAATTGCTTTTTCATAAAAAAGATAAATTCTGGTACGTGACTTCGACATGCATCTTTTTGTCTTGTGTTGACACCATTTCCTGTCATTCAAATTAATTAGAATCCGTTTGGATTATTTTTTTAAAAAAAAAGTACTTCTTAAGTTGAAAAGAAAACGTAAATTAAAATGACATTTATGTTTTAAATTAAAAAATAAAAAGAAAAGGAGATTTACTTTTAGTTTTTGATTTATTTTAAGTCAATATAAATTTATTCTAAGTTATTTTTGATTTTGTAAATTTGACAAATTTTTAAGTTAATTCTAGCACTACCTTAAAAGTGATGTATTATATGCGATCTCCGTATTAAGTTACTATAACATATGGCACTTGCATATGCATGTACACAATGAGAATTAGTTTTGTTAATTTTTATTGCTAGTTAAGGTGAGTGGACTATAT